TTTTATAAAAAAAATGCTAAAAAAAAATTTCTTATAAAATATAAGGAAATGTGATACAGAATTTCAAAAAACATATATAAAACTTATTTATAATAATGAAAAAACGTATGCAAATTTTTTATAGGGATAAGAAAGAAACTGGATATGAACCTAGGTAGTTTAAGCTTCTGATTTCAAGTCTATCATTTTCGAAGCCAAAACTGATTCAGAATTAATTATTAAATCTGTTTTAGAGCACTTCTCATACTTGAAATTCAGAAATAGTTTCAGAGAGATTGATAATTATGATTTTGCATCACCTCAGCCATGGAGCTCACAATACCCTATTTGTGATAGAAAACATGGGAATTATAGATTACATGGTGAATGGTATAGGAATAGAACAGAATATTGTCTTACTTACTTCACTTCAATCAATAAATTCAAGTTTGCATAGACCAGTCATATGAGACAGATAGATCGTTTATTACGCTACATATTATTGTACCAAGTGGACATACATATCTAGACTAATAAAAAAGTATTTAGTTTTTCCTTTTACAGTACCTATTTTTTTTTACCTTACAAGGAATACAAGATGTCTGAAGTTCTAACAATGTATTCCGATCATACAGGTAAGCACACTAATTATTTCTTTGCCTTTAAAGTACTAATCATATTTGCTTTCAATAGTTCTAATAACATATTTGAAAAAGCATAACTCCAAAAGTTGATCATATGCCAATTTTCTGACCCTAAACTGTGCTTTTCTTACACCATATAATAGTAAATAGAATACTCTCAATAGCACATAGACTAGACGATTTATGCAGGATGTGAAGAAACTTGAAGGTGAAGTAATTTTATTCCCAGTATAGGCAGAAGGGGTCTCCTGACAAGTCTCTATATGTCCTGGAGGTTCAGTGCTTCTCCTATCTAGGAAATTACTGTGTTAAGTCTCTACATGTCCCAAGTGATGGTGGTGAAAACCTGACAAGTCTTTACATGCACTTGGAGCATCAAAACTCTTCCTGTTTCCTACCATTCATGACCTGCTTATTATTGCTAAGCTTTTTTGTTAACTATACAATTATATTAACAGCCAGTGCCCGAAAAAATGAAGAACTATTGGAAAAAGTTATCCTTAAACGAAAGGAGGTTAGTTAGGCTGATTTTCCTTTACTTTATTTGTTTTATAATAATGTTACAATAATTATGCTAAACAGCGGTTAGTAAAATATACACACCTCTTTGGTAGTCTTGATCTGCTAGATGATGCTGAGAAGCATAATATTCAGAAATTACACTCTCAAGGGTTTAATGAAGAGAAGGTGAGATCACTAAAAATACAATTTACTACATACATTCTGTGTATGCTTTTACACAATGTTTTTTTTATCCTTTAGGAAGGAGAATTTTCAACTAAAAGAGTTCGAAAAAGAAAACTAGTAAATTATTATGAAAGCTAGACAGAAATGGATTCTTCTAGTTCAGAATATCAAAAAAAATCAAAAAGGGTGAGCAATACTACGCATATTATGTTATTTTGATACTTAATGATTGACCTTTTCTGATTCAGCCTAAAAGAAAATCCACCGATATTGACAATGATAGGATTTCAGATGAACAAATGGCCCATTTCGATCACATTTTCTGTGACCTAAACCTGAAAAAGATGTGGATCCTTAAATCTGATCATATTGTTGAGAAAATAATTTACGAATACGCAAGAACTTTGAAATACGGGTCTTGTTTACACTCCTTCATAATTAGCAATATTGATGAAAAAGCAAAATCATTATTTCAAAATGAAGAATGGAAAGAGATATTTTTCTCAAACTGCAAAAAAATGCCAAAAATCGATAAATCAGTTATTGAGCTTCTGAAAAAATATTCAGTAACTGATTTACCTTCATTTCGAAAAATCATTTTTGAGTCTTTTTTATTTACCGATGCTTTATACTATAATGGGAACACTTTGACTTAAATTATGTGAACCTTGTATATCATACTATACATACACTCTGGGAGGATGATAACAATTTCACTCTGGATTCTTCAAAATTAGAAGGATGGTTTCAACACAATATATGGAGTTCTATTATTGATCCTTCATTTCATATTAATTCAAGGATTAATTTGATATGTGAAGAAAGTATGAGCCTGGCATCTAGCGATAGAAAGAATGATACAAGTTGTAACGTAAATCATAGGACTTCATCTAGTGATAGTTGTGATGTGAATCGAAAAAAGATCAGTAGGAAAGGGGATGAGATTTTTAGGTTGAAAGGTAATAGGTTAGAATTTAGAGCCATTGAAGCGGAAAGAAAGTGAGAAGATAGAAATAGAAGAAAATATATTACTGACAGTCTAAAACTAAGCAAAATGTTAAGAGATATGCTAGTAGTGCTTATAGTGAAATGTAAAGATAATGAATAAATTGCTAAATAATTACAAACCGTTGGAATGTTACATAGTGGCAATCGATTTCAACTTCTAACTATAGACATTCCAATGGGATATATCTATCGGGCTCAACGCCTTGACTTTTACGAAGTAGCTAGTTGTATAAATGATCCACCATTAGCATTCGTGATAAAGGATGTATTAAAGGCAAAGGCAATTATTATGCGAACATTGAAATTGGTGTAACAAGGAAAGACACTTAATCTTAATAGCCTTGATGACTCTGACGATGATAACAAAATTGAAAGATCAAACTGATGTACAACTCCTCCACCTATGACTCTACCTTTGACTTTCAAGACTCCTAATACAGTACGTACTAAAGATGTAATTAATGAAAGAAAAAGAAGAAAAAGTAAATAGCTTTACGTACTTAGTTTTAGAATTAAGTTACACCAGTGTATATTATGTATAATATAATTAAGTCTGTAATAAAGATATTTACTACGCCGTTCACTTTACATTGTGACCTTTGGGTAGAGGTATGCTCCAGTGAAATCTGTTTAATCTGTTATCTGATCTGATTAAAAAACAGATCATTCAAATTATGAATGAACAGATCATGAATAATCTGGATGTGATCCTTGGATAACATCGGATTGATCAGACGTTATGCAGATGACCAGATTGATCAGATAATCCAGTCATTTTATTTTATTTTATTTTTTTTTTAAAAAAAAATCCTCTTTTTTTCTTTAGGATCAGACATGAATATGGACTTAGACTTCAGAATTTAGGATTAAAAGATATGTTGGAATAGGGGTAAATTCGGGTTTTTTTTTGGAGTTACTAATATTCCTTTCTTTCTTTTCTTTAAGGAACACCTTCTTGGACCTGGATTTCAGCTTAGGCTATGAAGGTAAGGTGGTATGGGGGATTGTTTTTGTTTCTTTTTCTTTGGAACGCCATTAATATTTCTTTTGCTGCTTTTCTTGTGATTTTTTTGTTTTTCTTTGTCTTTAGAATGCCATTAACGTTCCTTTTGCTTCTTTTCTTTAGGGAACGCTATCTGGACCTGAATTTCAGCTTGGGCCATAAAGGTAAGTTGTGGTGAGTTTTTTGTTTTCTTTTTTATTTTTGGAACGTCATTACTAGTTCTTTTGCTTATTTTCTTTAGTGAACGCCTTTCTGGACTTGGATTTCAACTTAGGCTATGAAAGATAAGTTAGGAGGGTGTTTTTTTTTATTTTTCATTTATTTTTCTTTAAAAATCATTTATATTTCTTTTCTTTTTTTCTTTGGAATACTTTCCTGAATCTGAATTTTAAAATTTTGGGAAGGAAAATTTTTATTTATTTATTTTCTATTTAGAACTTTTGCTTCGTTTTTAAAAAATAGAAATCTTTAAAATTATGAGTTTAGGTTTACAATAAGTTTTATAATATTTTAATAAAATTAAAATATAAATAATTATTCATAAATACTTTTAACTTTAATTGCATTTCTTTTTAAAAACATTATACGTCGAAAAA